ATCTAGACTCGTATTTGGAAGGGGCTAGTCCAGTCTGGTGGGAGCACCTTTTCCTTGTACATCAAAGGTCAGGTCTCAAATCAGATGCTTCCTTCCCATTTTGCACATGAGATGCATTTGGCAAGAACATATCACAGGGTGGCCATTTCCCCCTGAAAGCTGGGCGCCTTCTTGATCTTAGACGTGAGCCTCCTAGCACGAAGACCTGGATTCCCGGAATGGCTGCTGAACCCAGTGCAGCCCACCCCACTCCTGGGTCTGGCTCTGTAAGCTTGGTCAAGTCACTTAACCAAGTGATCTGGAAAATGGACATAACATCCCTTAACTGTTCATTCAGCAAGGATTTATTGCACTCCCATTCTGGGCCAGGCACTGAGGACCGCAGACAGACCAGGGCCCCTCACCGTGCTCAGAGCCCGCAGATGACAGCAAGGCCTGAGCGTGCAGAAGCGCCGACGCAGCCCAGCTGCCAAGATGGACGTGCAGCACAGTACAAGTGAGCGGTGCTGACTTCGCTCCCAACACTGAGGCCTTGGGCAAACCGGGTAGCGACTCAGCGGTGCCAGTTCTGAGTCTTCAGTGCCCCACTTACAAGGAGGCTTTAAAGACAGAGTAACTCAACTGGAGAGCAGTTTGGAAATCAGCGCTATTTTACATGCAGGATGGTGGCTCGTCACTAAAACACAGACGCGTGACTTGGTGTGCGGAAGGGAATTTTATGCTGACAGGACTCTGAACCCAGCACCAGGGCCGGGTTCTTGCCAGGCAGCCTGTGTGGGGGACAGAAGGAGCAGGCCCAGTGGGCCACGCTGAACAGCCCCTGGCCCACTGTCAGTTACTGTCCAAGAGCCAAACTGGATTTGTAAACACAGTGCAAAAGCCGCCCGCACGTTTACTTCCCCCACCCCATTTAACTCATACTGACTGATGGAATAACAGCACATCTCTGAGTGTCTCAATTACCTCTTGATTTTTTTTTAATTCTCATGTTTCTATATGGATTTGATTTAAAAGGCAGGCTAGAGAGTGATAGTCCAAGAGAGGGTGTGTGTGAGCGTGTATGTGTCTGTTCTAAATCAGAGCATCAGATTCCCATGTGTTCCGCCTGGGAACCCAGTGGTTGCTTAGCAACGTAACAATCTGTGCAACCAGGAGGATCCAGTGAACATGGGTGTGATGAAGCAGGAGAGAATCGCGCACTAAGGAGGAGGGTAGGGTGGGCAGGCCTCACTGGGCTTCCCAGACTCGCTGGCCATTCTCTCCTGTAGCCATGTTGGGCGGGGCACCAGCAGGCCCCAAGCACGTGGCCAGGATGTGCCCGCCGCCGTGATTAGCTGGGGCTATCATCTGTCATCTCTTCCCTATAGGGTGGCCTCCCCCCATCTCACTGGGAATGTTGGTTTATCCTCCATAAGCTGCAGAAGAGAGAAGACGGCTCGGAGTTAGGGAATTAGCAGTAAGCTGGTTCTCAGAGGGCTTTGGGCAGAGGCTTAACAGCATTCCAATGTCACTGTTTTCTCTTTCTTAACTTTTTCCTGGATAGTTTCCTTCTTTTTAAGTGAGTTATATTATCCCAAGCCAAAGAAGGCAAGGTTGTTATTTTCCTGTTCTAAATATGAAAATGATGCCCATATTGATTTTCAAAGTGGATCGCCAGAAGGGACCGCCTTGGACGGATTCTCAGCCAGTGTCTGTACCACTATTTTCATTCCATCCATCGAAAGATGCTTTTTTTTTTTTTTCTTTCTTAATTTTGCAGTGTTGTCTCAAGTCATTGCATTTTGTCATTTTCATTTGCTCCCATGATGGGTGTTAACAGAAGAGGGTCATGCTGAACAGAAGTAAGTGCCACCTGCAGTAATGCCGCGTGCTGTCGTGTGTGCAACTGTCTTTCGCTCCTGCTGCCCACGAAGGTGTTTGCAGAGCCTCCTCTTCACTTCCCACACACACACCTGCCTATAGAGCCCTTCCGTGCCTGCGATTGGTTGGGGTATTTCCACAGTGAGGCTGGCGTTGCTGCCATCCCCTGGCCTGGGCCAGAGATACCCACTGTTAAATACTGCCCAGGTTTGTAGCAGTCGCTGTCACTTGGGGAATTAACTTGCCTCTGCTTCACAAGGCTATGAGCAACAGGGCTGCTCCCCAGCTGTGCTGCCTCAGTGGATCCACCCAGAGCCAGGGTTAGGGGCACAGTCACCAACGAAGTCAGCTTCAGAGAAAGCACCTCTCCCACCCCAGTCATAGCTGAACAAATGTGTTCTTGTAGGATAGTTTCTCACTTAACAAAAAGCATGCCTTCTTCCCCAAAGGTTCTGGCCCTAATTGACACCACAAATAGCCTCTGAATGTGGTGGCTTTACACTTTCTCATCTTATTACAATCATATTAGTTTATTTTACCAAAGTGAAAAAAGTGAGCCTTCCCCAAAACGCACACACCTTATGGCTGTGGCGCAGAGACGGCCCATCTTGATGGACATACCACGACACTCCCTACCAGCTTTAGCTTGCTCAGGTTGGAACTGGAGCAGATCTTCGGATCCTACTTGAGCACTAGAGAGTTTTTTCTTATATCCTGTGTCCACAGCCCACCTCTCTCCTGAGAATCTAAATCTAGACACCAGAGAGTGCTGGCCCCTTCCCCTGCACGTGAAGCCCAACCGGGCTCCAATTTCTTGGTTTTGAACAACTGAGCCTAGCAGTAGTGGCAGAGTCCTCAGTCTCACTTGGGGCTGCCTCATACCTGTTGGTGTACACAGTCCACCAGCACAACCAGCGACCCGCCCCCCCATTGGGGGGAGGGGATGGGCAGGCTCCAGGTAGGAAAGCCCTGTTGGTAGCAAGTCCCAACTGGGGCGCCCAGCCCTCCAGGAAACTGCATGTGAGCACTCTGGGTGGAGGTGTGCCTGGCCCAGCAGTGTGCACCTACCAGCCCCTGGAAACACTTCTCACGACAGGATGGACACTTGAGTCCACAGCACTAGCCCTTATTCAGATCTGCTCTTTCCTTTCATGGTGGAATATCCCATACTTGGAGTAAGAAGGACTAACATCAAGTAGGGAAGTGTCACAAGGCTTGGCGGCGCCTAGGTAACCGATTGGTGGTTTTACCCAAATACACATCAGTGGTAAAGAAAACAAACAGCAAAGGAACAGACGGGAGCCAGGCAGACCAGCCTGGCACCCTCGCCTGTCTCCAGTGCGCTCCCTTCAATCAGCTTCCATACAGGTTCTGGCCCCTTAGCCTTCTGCATGTCCTGGAAGAAAAACCAGGGCCTAACCAAGTGGTTTCTAAAGTCCAGTGTCTATCACAATGTGGTCTGGGGTTTGGTTAATTGCAGGCACCTGGTCCCTGTCCCCAGCCATCCTATTTCAGTAGGTTCGAGAGGGGCTCAGGAGTCCTCACTTGACCAGTGTCCTGGGTGACTTTCATGAAGGGTCTGTGGGCTCCTCTTTGAGAACTGCTGCTCTAACTGGACAGCAGCTGATCCCCAACAACCATCGCAATGCAAACTGACAAGACTGGCTGACAGCAGATGGCAGGGCTTCAGTCTTGCCCTTGGGGAGTCTCCCCACACAGCGGCATCTCAGCTGCCGGAGCCCTCCTCTCGTCCACGACCCTTCCACTGAGACACCGTGGCCGCCCCCCATCACTCACAGCCATGGCCCTGCTCCCGTGCTGCTCCTCGCACTCTCCAGAGCACTCCCTCCCAGCTGTCCCGCCACTTGGAAGGGGAGGAGCCCGTTTTATAAATGAAGGCATAGAGGCCCATGGGCTGGTATTTGGCAGAGCCAGGGCTCCAACAGACATCTCGAGTCCAGATCCTGAGGAGGGGCCTGTGGTAGGATGGATCTTTCCAGAAGAGAGTGGGTGGTCTATCCATATCCATGCAAATGAGCCCAAAAGGCAAGAGACACACACCTACTCTTGTGCCTCCCCAGTGGCTGTGGCTTTCCCAGGGCCAGTGGGATGGACGTGCCTTCCGTTTGGAGACAGCAGAATGTGCACCAGGGCCCGGGTGGGGGGGTGGTTGTTCCTCTCTAGGTGTGGTGAGAAAGCCCCCGCCATGGGCCTTGGCCAAAACCAGTGGGGGAGTGGTTTATGAGAAGACCACCTCCACAAAGGTGAGCGTGGGGACTAGGGACTCCTCCAGCACTGAGCTGTGCCTTCTCCCCACAGAAGTCATCCAACCACCTCACTGGGGCCAGTAAAGGTTGGACCTAGAGTTGATCCTGTCCCCTCTCCAGCTCCAGGGGCTTTACCTGCCCAACCAGAGCAGGAGGGGCACAGGGGACTGCCAAGGACTCCCATGGCCACTGGGAGAACAGGGCTCCTTTCAGAGTTCTGCTTTTTGATAAGGATTGTATATCCTACTAATGAGTCTTTCACAGGAAAAGGGCTAAAAATTACCTAAAAAACCCTGAGTGCCCCCAGGTAGCCACGGGGCTTTCCACTTACTGAAAGAGGGCCTGGCAACGTCCCGCCCTGCACTCGTCCATTCAAGCCAACGAGCGGAGGGCGGCTGGGCAGTTGAGAAGGGGCTCTCTCCTCAAAGGTGCACAGCCTGCTCACTGACACGGGGCATGTCGGTTCCTCAAGGGGTAGTGACGAGGTCACTGGGCACGTCCCACTCAGGGGACAGGACTCCATTCTGGCCCTGTCTTCATACCCTATTCAAGCCTTACAAGGGCCTCCCTGGCCACCTTCCAGCTGGCCCTCCCTTCCCACCTAGCCAGGCACACCCACCCAGCACCTCCATCCTGGGTTCAGGTGAGTAGGCTGCCTGGTGTGCTCTGGTGTTTCCATAGAACTCTGCCTCTGCTCCTTTCCTCCCCGTCCTGGCATGGCAAATCATTGGCTCACTGCCACGTGAGCACATCTGCCACTAGATGCTCTGGTGTGGTCTGGGTGTCCCCCTCACCTTCCTCGGTGATCTGCATCCTGCCAACCTGACTCGGTAACCTGCCTTGTAATGATATTCTCTGTTGTTGCCGTTTCAGAAGCCCAGAGGTCATGAGCACCGTCTCAGGTACACGGAGCACGACAGTCACCTTCACTGTCCGCCCTGGCACTTCCCAGCCCATCACCCTGCAGAGCCGGCCCCACGACTATGAAAGTAGGACCTCAGGAACAAGACGTGCCCCAAGCCCTGTGGTCTCGCCAACAGAGATGAACAAAGAGATTCTGCCTGCCCCTCTGTCCGCTGCTGCTGCCTCTCCTTCTCCCACTCTCTCAGATGTCTTTAGCCTTCCTAGCCAGCCCCCCTCCGGGGACCTATTTGGCTTGAACCCAGTGGGACGCAGCAGGTCGCCATCTCCCTCGATACTGCAACAGCCAATCTCAAATAAGCCTTTTACAACTAAACCTGTCCACCTGTGGACTAAACCAGATGTGGCAGATTGGCTGGAAAGTCTAAACTTGGGTGAACATAAAGAGACCTTCATGGACAATGAGATCGATGGCAGTCACTTACCAAACCTTCAGAAGGAAGACCTAATCGACCTTGGGGTGACTCGAGTTGGGCACAGAATGAACATAGAAAGGGCTTTGAAACAGCTGCTTGACAGATAAGGACGGCTGCGCTTTACCTTTACAGACTTCTTGTTATAAGTAGAGATGGGCTTGCACTGAAGTACTGGAATGGCCAAGCAAGTCTGTGAGCATCAACCCCATTCCATGGGTTTGTCTCCTGGTACCCAAAGAAATACTGTGTGTGTCCACAGTGTGGCTGAGCAGAGGCCTTGAAACCTTCAGCTTTCTAGGGGTTTCTTGGGCAGTTTCTGTCAAACAGGGGACAAGGAGAGAGTGTTTTTCTAGCATGGAAAGAGATTCCCAGCCTGCCTCCCAGCATGCAGGTGACCTCACTTGCCAGGTCCAAGAAGCTCCCCGTCGATTTCGCACGGGATCCTTGCTCTTGTAGGCAGACACCAGTGTGTTCTAGATACCTCCTGAGACCTCCCTCCTCTGCGTTCCGGGCAGCTCTCACCACCCTAGGCCCCAGCACGAGGCCTTCCTCAGTCCTGTGGCCTCTCAGAGGACCCCCGATGCTCACTTGCTCCTTTCTCTCCTGTATTTTGCTTGCAGTGAGATGCTCCCAGATGTGTTTGTCTGGTGCCCCTTCTTGGGCCTGAAAGGTAGAGAAACTTTTTTCCCTATACAGATTCTTTACTCCGTCTCATCCTGTGATGAGCATCCATGGTTCTTTGGCCATGAAATTCTTGGCAGTGGCGGGGAGTTTGAATGGGATCGTGCCCAGCTTTGCTTAGCTTTCTTTCTTTATTTCTGCAAATCTATTAGCATAATTCCAAGGTGGCCAAACAGGTGTCACATGGAGTTAGCCAAAGCACAAAGTCACGATTCCAAAAAGGAGAGGAGACCTGGCCATGGAACCAGCCAGTGTGCAGCTGCCTTGGTCCCAGGTCTCCTCAAGGACGAGAGCTGCTGTCTGCCAGGAGTATCCATCCAGGATGGAGAAAGGGGTTCTCTGCCTCTCAGAATTCTTTTTTGTGAAGGTGTGTTGAGCTCAGCAAAGACCAGAGCAGGTGAGCATCTACTCTGACATGAAGGACAAGAAGATGCACAGCTCACAGTGGGCATCACTGCTGCCCTGTGAGACGGTGTCTTCGCTGGGAGCTGGGGGGTGCAGGGCCCTCAGTTCTGAGCCCGACCAAGGGTGAGCATCTCTGCTGAGACGGTCCTTTTGCTCTCAGAGGCCAGGGAAGATGGTACTTCGGGGCTTTTCCCCTTTTTCTCTGGGTGTCTAGGAATCCCACCAGCTTGTCTTAACAGTACAGCAGGTCCTCTGAGGACCCAGTGGGTATGGAGTATAGACAGAACCCAGGATGGAGAACACAGGTGGGCTGCAGGATCAAGGGGCGCAGCAGACGAGTAAGGAAAGGAAAGCAGGGAGGTCTCCTGGACAGCCAGCCGGCCTCTCCGGCAAGGCTTCCTTGAGTACCCCAGGCTCTCCCCTGCAGCCCCTGTCCCGGTAATGATACCTCTGACTGCCAAGGGAGGTCACCAACTGCACATGGGCTGCAAAACATCCAGTCAGGCTTCCAGCACATTCTCCCACATTTGGAGGATACTCGAATGTCAGGTTTTTGGTTTTATTATGATTTCAGAACTAGCTCAGCCCATCTCTAATTATAAAACATGATTTTTTTTTCCTTTTTTTTCTTTATGCTCACGACCAAGTGTCTGGTTAGGTCTGGAACAGCTCTAGAATGAATACGTAAAATTTAGAAATTTAAAATCTCTTTCTTTACTGCAAGTTTAAATAGTTGTACAGATAGTTTATAAGCACAATATTTTAAGAAAAAAAAGTGGCTGGTCTACTAGGCAGCCTTTGTGCCACTTCAGTGCTAGAAAGTTAAAGAAAAAAAAAAAAACTTTTGTGATTTAATAATACTATTTCTGTGGAATAATTATAAAAGTATGACCTTTTTAAATCAACCTTATTTGGATGCATCTGAACCAGCAGAGCTGTGTTATATTTTCTATCTTTGCTAGAACTTCATCATTGAAGGACAATTTCTTCAAAAGTGGTTACAATTCACAATGCAGCAGTTTCTCTAAAAATAAAACCAAAATATACACACACTACACGCACACAACTTTTCCAGCTACACGCCCCTGATTTGGAAACTGAGTCTTTAGACCTTCTCCTGTTCCAAAATGTTTTGCAGGTCAATCTTTATATTTGAATGATCCAATCCAACTTGAAATAATTGAATATTAAGGCGCTTTACTTTCACGTACTTTCAATTTTTCCACTGGGGGATGAACGAACATTACTCTAGAGAAATTTCCAGCCAAGATACTATAGGTGACCTGCTGGGCTGCCCAATATTTTAGAAAAATGTAAAAATGGTGGTTTGGCCATTAATTTGTCTTCCATTTGGTGACAGTGCAAAATTTAGTAAGCCCATCACTTCACCATGGCTCTTTTTGCTTTGCCTACTATTGGTATCACCTCTGTGCTCAGTGCCAGGCAAAATGCTAGGTAAGAGGAGAGTAAAAGAAACCTCTGGTAGATTGTAACCAATCACAACGTATTGACTTTGGGTTCTTTAAACTTTGGCAGCCAGGAGGTGAGAGCTGGCTGTTACTCCCTTTCTTAAGAGACTTTAAGCCACATGCCACTAACCAGAAGCAAGCTGGCTAAACAGCTGATGAAATAGTTTATTTTTACATTGTATTATAGAAAAGTAATAGGACCTATCAGAACCTGCACTGACCAATAAACATGTTGCCAAGATGAATCGGTCTCTAGCTCTATTTGCTGATTTTGCTACAGAGAGCAATATAGTTCCTCATTCAAATTGCCACCCACTGTTCTCCCCCTTTAGAACATGTAAGGACCAGGCCCTATTCCATGACCCTCTTTAATGGTGGGACAAATGTTAAACTGCTCATATAAAGATGTTAATATTATTCCAGGTTTTAAGATCAACTTTTGTTATATACTGTAATTTAAATAAACTGCATTTACATACCTAGTTTCTGTAATATCGTGTATACAAAACCCAAATCTATCAAGATGTAAATTATGTATACCTGCCAAGATACCTTCTCCAGGGTGTCTGTGCACATTTTAAGTTAATTCTTATAATATAAAAATGACTCAATGTGACTGTTGATTTGCTGAACTTTACATATCACAAAGTGAATTATTTGTGATACTTTAGTTAATAAAATGGTGAATTTTTTTCTCAGTTATTGAACAAGCATTACCCAATTGATCTGGCAATGACTTTTTTGTGTGTGGGCCACAAATATTGATTTTCCCATTAACAATTCTTTTTTGTTTTTTAAATACTAATATGTTTCACACTATAGTTTGTGTAACAACACGTGTTCGCATTATCTATGTTGCTGTTACTTTTGTGCTTTTATTCTTTTTAGATTTCATTAAAAAAAAAAATAATAAAACAAAACCAAGCTCCTGTAATTTGCACTTTCTCCCAATCCTTTAATCTCTTGTATGGCAACCAAAATTACTGTAAAAAAATAAATATACTATTGCACTAAGGTTGTGGTTCTGATTGCAAACAGTGAAAACTGTCTGAATTAAACAAACAAAAAGTTGCCAAACTTGCAATCTAATGTAGGTTATTTGAAGCATCATAGCTGGCTTTACCTCTATAAAATTGACCAGATAGTATCTTTCATCAAAGAGTAAAAATGCTCCTCCCACTGAGCTGAAAATATGCCTTGGTTCCATTTCCTTAAAGTATTCTTGATGTGTAAATGGAAACGTGTATATTATTTCAGAAGTGTGAAAAATGTCAGAATCAGCTTTTCTTTTTGTTTTGGGGAGGAAGCAGGGATGCCACGGAGGTGAGCCGGGTTTGGATCTCTCTCCTCAGAGTATAGGGCTCCCCTCATCCCCAGCTGGTTGCCTTCTAGTCATGGGAGTTGCAGCACTGGGCAGCCTCTCTGCTTGACATAATCTAACAATGTTTTGAGAAGCAAACAAGGTACTAAGGCTTGGAGCAAGAGAGCACTTGTGTCTTTTGGCAAAGAACTGAGCCAGGAAGACATAGGCCACCCCTTCCACTTTAGGGGAGCAAATTTTAACTTAAACATTGAACCTCTTCTTGTCCTCATCAGTGAAAACTTGTTGTCTTTAGTTCCTGAATGGTTTCTTCTATTTTGGCACATTCTCCATTTGAGCAGCAGCCACCGTGTTTCCATGTTCATGAAAAATTTAAATCCACTTATCTTTTGTAGTTTACAAAGCCCTCCTGCCTCACCATCCAATAGTTTCTCCCAAACCTTAACACGTCCCCCAACTTTACTGTCCAATGGTTTTTTCCTAGACCTCTTTTCCTAGATGAATATATTAGTTTGTCTCATTGGGGGTTAAAAAATATTGGAAAATGTTTTCTTTTACTTGAACTTTATTTGAGGCATTTTAACAACTAGTGAACAGGAATGTGTTTCTGTATTTGTAGATACCCACGTACACATGCAAGTAGGTGAAAATTCTAGGGCTGGGTGACCACAGCAGCTGCATGCATACGGGAATGCCCGGGCTTTGTGGGAAATCGGATAATTTCCAGACTTGTTTCTCAGACTTCAGCAGATCTGATCACTACAATTTTAATCCATTCTGTATCAGTGATTTTGTTTCTTTATTGTTGCTGTAAAATGTTTCTACATCTCACAGTCTTTAGCATTTCATGTTTAAAATTACAACAATCACCGTCCATTGCTTCTACTCTGGAACTCTTTGTTCATAGCAATTCTGAAACTTTAATATGAGCCTTCAAATAAATACATAAAAGAAAAAAAAAGGAAAAAAATAAAGTGTGTGCCTTGGGTGTTTTGAACCTGATCTGCATAAAACCATATTGTATTCAAATGCTGTATATTTAATGAAAGGATAAATATATCTTCAATGTATTAATGTAGCTAATAAAATAGTTATAGTGCCTTGTTTTCTGAACTGAGAAGCCCATATCAATGCACATCGTAAAGAAAAAACCAATTCGATATGAAATGTTGAGAAGACCTAGACGTGATTCTGGAGCCTTTCTCATCATAAGACTGTGGAATATACACAGTCACTTAAGTTAAAAATAAAAGTAAATTGAAATAAGATTGTGTTATCAATTAATTTTCCATTAAAAGTACTCTCTACTGTATCACTTCAGTATTTTCATTTAATTAAAATACAGAACGTGTTCGAGAGTTTTAGTCCTGGGCTTTCAGACCCTCCTCCCTTGTGTTGTGTCGTCCCCTGGTGGCACTTGTTGGCAATGCTTACCCAAGTCAGCACTACTGATTTTCACATTTTGTTAAAAATATACAAAATATTTGTTTTTAGCGATTGACGGCACTCATCACAGAAGAACTATTTCCATTTTTGACAAGGAATGGCAACACACGTTTTTCTTTTAAAAGAAAAATGACGTAAGAAATGTCTCAACGCTGTCGCGCTCCACTTAACGTTAAATGTCAGCCTTCATGAGCATCCTTTCCCATCTTAAAAGATGAGTCTGGGGTGTAGCACACACATCAGGAACCCATGTCTGCCTGTGGACTGGATCAACAGCGGCAGCGGTGAACATTTGTGGGACTCTCCGGCCAGATGGGAGCAGCAGCAGCCGGGTCTTCTCAGGCTGTTGACATGCCCAGAGGCAGGGCAATACCACGTGCTGTGTCTGTCAGCATGTCCTTGAGTTGTCCTGCCACGCATATCTCAAGGGAGCAAGGAGCTACTCAGATCTGGAACTCTACCCTGTGCCTGTTGAATTCGCAAGACTACCAACAGTGCTGCTATTTGCCAGGCCAGAAGTCAACTGGATATCCAGATTTTTCAGTTTCAGGCAACAGACATAGCCAATGATCCAAGAATCTGAAGGGGTGGTCAGGGAGAGGTGGCCAAGGCTTCTCAGTCACTCTGTTCCACATGCCGTTGCCTCTGCTCAAAGTATGTGGCACGTGTCCAAGAGTCAAAGGGTGAGCTGGAGCACTGCCCATGGCCACTGGGCCCTATATGAGGTGGGGACCACAGGACAGCCTGGTGAGCCAGACTGAGTGTGGAGATAGCTCATCAAGCCACCTGCATCTGGTGGCCAGCACCCCTGTCCTGGGGCTCCTAGAAGGCAAGCCATCGTGCCATTGCCCACCTGTAGTCTTCCCTGCCTGAGGATTGCAGAAACGGAATTGAACGTGTTCTCCATCCCCAGAGCCCAGAGAGTGGGAGGAACACACATCCCTTAACACTCTAAGGAGGGGGCCACAAGCACAAGGCAGATGTCAACTTAGATCTATGTGTGAGCCCAAGAGGTAGCACAGGCTGGAAATAGCAGTCAGTCCATTCAGTGCTCTGTGTGTGCCAGGCTGTTTAGAGTACTGATCCACGGAGTATCTGACAGCCCTGTGAGCTAGAAACTAAGAGCCCCACTTCACAGATGAGGAAACTTAAGTCTTGCCAAGGTCCACAGCAAGTAGAGAAGGGTTTGCCATACAGCTTCCCTAAGTCTGTAGGAGAGAACCCAATCAGGCGTCCTGGGACCCATCGCTGGGTCAGAATCTGCCCTGCTGACAGGGCACTCCCTCTCCCTGCCCCCTTCTGAAGCCATCTGCACAGGGCCTGGGGTTCAGGAGGCTGGGCAAGGTGCAGGAGCCTCCTGGCTAAAGCATCTCAGAGTTGTGGAAAAGGGGGACTTAATTTGGTGGGGATCTGGTTACCTTAATTTGCTCTAACTGAGATCAAGAGAAGCAAGGCCTAGGGAACCTCTGGTTTTCAGAGAAAGGACCCGACATTTGTAAAAGGCTCTATGGCTTAGAGAGCATGTGACATGAGGCATCTGCTTTAATTCAGATGAGTAAGTATCACCACAGTGATTATCCCCTTTACTGATGAGGAAACTAAAGCTCAAAGAACCAGATGCAGTCCCATGTGGCCTACAGGCAGCTGGAACAAGTCACTCTGAAGACTGAGTCCTCACCACAGGAGCAGAGCTGCCCTGGGCCCCATCCTTCCCTCCTGTTAAACTCTTCCGCTCATGGCTGTGAATGACCCAGAACACTCCCAACATGTTCCTTCGTGGCCTAAGTCAGCCAGAGCCCATTTCCGTTGCTTGCAACCACAGATGCCTGGCGCAGCTCCTGACCCAGATTATGGTGTTTTCTCTCCCAGCCCACAGCCTCCCTTGGCCAGTTATTACAAAACGGGGCAGCCCTTTCCTCAACCTCTGCTCTTACCCTCAGTGGCAGAGGAGAGAGGCCAAGCAAATGAAGGATGAGATAAGGAGCCCACGGTTACAGGAGTCTGGAAACGAGCACAACAGACCCACACGGCTCTAAAGCTTTACTTAAAGCCAAAGGCAAGGAGCAGCAGCAGCCTTCCTTGGCCTGGAGCCTGCCATCTGGGCAGGCTAAAAATAAAGGCTCCGTTCTCAAGCAGGAGTTTATAAAATGTGACTACAAAGGCCCTGATAGAGACGTGGGGCTCAGAGAAAACCACACAGCCTGAGACCTTTAGCACCCCGCAGGCTTACTGGGAAAGACCAGCTCCCCTCCCCCACACAGGCATGTGACCAGCTCTCTCTGGCAGCAGCCAGGAGCACTAAGTGAGGGAGTGTGGTGGCTCCTCATGGTGGGAGGAAAGGAGACCACAAAATAAGAGGGCTGCACATAGCATGAATCGTAAGCCACAGCTGACTAACCTCTGCCCCATCCTGAGAGACCTGGGCCCCTGCCCGCCCTCCTCACCTTGCTCCAGCCACACTGCCACTTAGGGCTGTCTCTGCTGGCTCCTCCTGGTACCTGGGATGTTCTTCCCCTGTGCCTGCAATGGCTTCCTGGGTCACTAGATTTAGAGGAGGATTCATTTTGATCACACACTTTCACATCTCCCCATGGCGCCTGTCAATATCCCCGACTGGCTTATTTCTTTACCTCTTTGCTTACCAATTATCACCTGCCACCCACCACACTCACCCCTCTGGAAGATGAGCCTCACGAGGGCAGCTCTGGCAATTCCATGCACTGCGACAGCACTACCCTGCAGCCCTCCATGCCAGAGAGACAGCCCTTCCATCTCCGAGAGGCCCCACTCACCCCTCACAGCTGCACCTGCTGCAGCTCCTGTGGCCTCCATCTGGTCCTCAGACACCTGGCAAGGAAGGGCTTCCCTAGAGGCTCAGGGACTCCTCCCGTGTGTTGCCTGCCCCTATGCTGACCCTCCTTGTCCCCTGCCTGGAAAGTTACTGGGAATCCTCCACTTGTCCTGACCCCTGCTCCCCCATACCACCAGGAACCTTCTCTCCTCTGTGTAGAGCGACACACCTCTCCTGTCCTATCCCAGGGTGTGGAAAGGGGCACTTCCTAAATCCCTCATCAGAGGCTGCAGGATAAGCAGACTGTGTCCTGGGCAGACAGACACCTGGGCTTAAACCTTTCAGACTCTCCCTCACCCACCACAGGCCTCAGTTTTCTGGCACACAGGGACGGGCCCCACGAGGGAAAGACACCTGCCCAGACCAGGCCTGTTTCAGCGAGTGGAAAACCC